CTGCTGATAGCATCGAAATGGATATCTTCAAAGGTCCTGACAAGCTTATGTTGGGCACAGTGAGATCGGCTTTTCTAGAGAAAAGGCATGCTTGTGTTTTGTTTGCATTGACATCTACCAAGTTATAGGATCCCCATTCGAGAATTGTTGCCAAGTCTATATTTATGTTGTCAACATTTCTTCCCCGTCCGAAGCTGTGTACTGGACATGAAGTTGCTTCCAACAAATCGATGATATGGAGTTGATTATTCGTTTAAAAATCATGAAAACCTGCCTATGAAAAGATTTGTATTTCCATTGAGAATTCAATGTTTGGAATGTAAATCATTAAGGAAATGTGTGTTTTTGATTCATTCCAATTTCCTTCCCATCAGTTTGATCAGAACTATTTCTGCCTTCCTGCCTAAGAACAGATACCTATGTATATATTTCTCCATTTTCAATTGAATGCTTGAAATGTTTATATCATTATGGAAATTGTGTTCTTATTGTTTCATTTCAATTTCCTTTTCATTTTGATCAGACCATAATATGTAGGTGTAACTCTTATACGTTGTCATGCATACTGAAGTAAACAAAAATATATACTCGACTTACTTATATGCAAATGAAATTATCCATACCTGATGATCCGTATCACGATATATTTATGGATAAATTCATGTTCATTGTCGAACATCGAACTTTTGATAGGTATAAATGCGAATATTCGTATATTTTTAGCTACTTCCTGCAAATAAAATGTATAAAACATTATCTGTTATTGCTTAAAGATTCAGTATACTTTCAATAATCAATCGCTTCTCATAAGTATGTTAATAATTTGTTGTTTGCATTATATTTTTTTTCCTCAAAGGAGGCGAGCAATTAATGAGAATGTAATGATGAAATTAGAAATCCTGTGTAGTCATACCGACTAATCGTATCTTAATTTAGAAAGGTGAAAAATTAGGCCTATATGTTTGGATAATTATTATATGCATTCTTGTTTGTGCATTAAGAAATTAACGTTCCCCGATCAAAGATAATAAACCGAATGCATTAATTCAGTTTATATCTACCTAAATAACCAGTGTTGATACTCAAAAAAGGTGTGTCCACGGATACTATTATCGTTCCTTGTATTTACTTCTTATGTAAATAAGCTGATTATAATTCTTGCATGATTAATCATCCGATCCACAGAATAATTTGTTATAATTCACCTACGTTCTGCATTACTTTGTAATTACACCTAGTGCGAGAAAAAAATACTACCTATACTTAATCATCTACGTCCTATACCTATCAAACAATGTTGTTTGTTTTAAGATCAATCATATCCATTTATTATGTATCTATAAGGAACGCTAATGCTAAATCCTGCACACATATCGGCAATATTGGGCCAATAAAGGGCCAATACTCAGACAAGATTATGTGCTACTGGGGTATCGTGCTCAATTTTTTCACTTGTGTAATGAAATGTTTTTGACCAGCTTCATTACTAGACTAGTTTTGACCAAAATCTAAGTACCTGAGCCTGATTATAGTTGAATTTCACCTGTTCGAAAGCTCGAAACCTGAAAACCTGAGAGAGCTGAGTAATGCATTGATTCCTGACTTCCCAAAGCTTTTCCTGATATAGTAAACTCTGATTAACATCATCACAACCCTGAAGTCTTCAATATTTTTCGACCCTTTGCTCATGATATGAAATTTGATTGAATTTCTCATCAGTTGAAATGATGGACGTTTACCTGGTCATAACTTTTTTGTTATTGGATATTTTCCAGTCAAATTTATTCAGTAGATTCTGTTCCTGTGCCCATATAGGGGTTAAATATCATTTTTTCCCGCATTTTTGTGAGTTCAAGAACATGTGCTTTTGGATGATAGTTCCTGCAGCCATAGTTGAGGATTCCGACCAATAAGAACCTAGGATCGACCTGTCCTTGTATCGAGGTCAAGGGGGGAATATAAATACTGAAGACAGCTGAGGGATCGCCCTCTTCTCTACAAGTAGACACTACCTGCTCTAGGTTATACAGATGCTGCACTTCAAACTCTAGGTTCTCTTGCTGATCTCTTAGTGCTCTCATATTTCATTGAAAGCCAGTGTAAAGTATCAATGTATAGTGATTGCCTGTTGCACATGTAAGTTGGTATAATATTTTTCACCAATAGTATTCATCCTGTTTATAGCTTCATTTCATTCCTATTGTTTTTCATACCGATACTCACCCGACCTGTGTAATGATTCCAGAAAGTTGTATTCACGAATAAACGGTTTTTTTTGTGATTGCATATTCCATATTTCTTTCTCTGTTGTCATTGTTTTCAGTTCCGAATAGTTCCTATAATTCATTTAATGATTTTCAATATTTTCATTTGTCAAAATTGCAGATTATTATTATTGACTGACGACTGACACTGACAACCCAGTTGTCAATTCTTCTTCTTCTTCTTTTCCTGGAGAAATCCAGTCCTGTGCACCGGTGTCTCTGTGTTCTGTGTCCTGTCAGGCGGTGGTCTGTGGTTCATGAAATTTTGACATGAATCGAAAAATATAATTGACCTCACTAAAATTCCGATATTAGAAAATTAGAAAATCGAAGGAAAAGGAAAGATAAATAGGAATAGAATCTGATTCGTTTGGAACTGTGATTCCGATTGTCCAGGTAGACTTTATGAAATAGTTTGAATAAATGATTTTCCAGGACTAACCTGAAAATACCAGAGACCTGAAAGATATTTGTTTTGATTTCTGCATGTAATTATCCAGACTAACTAAAAATAGCAACCAGTATTCCAGGCTGAACCCAGGGTTTGTAATTAAAGCCTACATTCCCTAGGTTCCTTGATTCCAGGTCGATTCAATAACATTGACCCCTGGTTTATACTGTGGGTACCGAGGTAGGTATACCTCCTGTACCTTTCTCCACTGTTGCTACTTTGGGCCTCTGTACAAAAACATTTCGTGCAGAGCAGGTAGAGTAAACTACCTCAAAAACAATCTGGCGCTCGAGAACCCCCCCCCTCTCCCCGTCAAATACCAGAGTAGTCTCCGCCCTGAACAGAGCGCCAAAGTAGGGGCCCCAGAAACAAAGCCCGTTACACTTGTCACATATTTGTTACATATTCAAGATGTCATATATCTGACATGTTACAGAGTGAAAGCAGGCGCATCGACATAATTTTCAACCAATCAGTACAGAAGTTCACAAAATAGTTATTCATGTACCAAGAACGAAACACGGTCGACTATAGTCGAGTCTGTAAATTAATAGCCGAGGTCTTAGCCGAGGCTAGCAATCATGCGAGACAAGAGACAATTTTTCACCGAGGTGAATATTACATTTTTTGTCGACCTGAAACATTCATATTCACATCGCGGTTACTATTCACATGTGGAATCTATCGGATTTCGTGAATAATTAATTTGACAATAGCAAATAACAGTTGTTGTCGACTCACTCTCCACGCGGACCAGGGTTGCCAGATCGATTTTCATTCCATTAGTAAATACCTTGTCAAGAATTCAGTGAATTTCAAGATCTTTTTTATGCAATACGAACTCGAAGAAAGGATAACGAAATAAACCTTATCATTTCAAAACATTATGTACTTTCAGTATACAGGAAAGTAGCTTATCTCCAACAAAATAGAAATAAACAAAATAAACATTGTCATACACAAAAACTCATGTTCCTGAATCTCAATTCAAAAATTCTTACAAATATCACAAAATACAGTTGCATAGGTACTTATAAGATCTGAATCCATAAAAAACAAGAACGAATAGTAAAATTGAACAACAAAAATACGAAAAAAATTCGAAAAATTGAACGGAAAAAACAAACTGTTATAACAGATGTATGTAAAGAATTGAATTTGATCTGAATCAGATGAAGTGTTTTCCTATTTTGTTTTATACATATCACTATAGTACCTATATGTATGTTCATTTATAAATGTATGTGATTAATTAAAGATCGAAAAATAGGTGATTATAATAATGAATAAGGGTCAAATGATTCTTCAGTAGAATGTGAAATGTTTCAGTATAGATCAGTAGATCAATAATCAGGAGATCTACTATGAATTCAGTAGAACGGAGAATACACGCCTTCGGATATAAGGATGAATTTCCCAACAGAATTCGACGTTCATATTGATGCGACAAAATTTGCAGGAGATGTTGTTGTCATATAATTTCCTTATTTCTGGTCCCACCATTGAAAGAAAAGCATCATCTGGAAGGCACGTTACACGAAAGTAATTGAAATATTTATTAGGGTCATTCAGTCGCATTTACCAAACGAGGCTGTAATAATCTCTATACATTTTTCGGCATTTAAAAATGCTTCGAACACTGCAGCTTCTTTTTTTGCTTCTGATGGATACATCATTAGTTCTATTGAGACGATACAAATGATACATTAAAATCAATTGGTCCAGAGAATCCATCCTGTGAAGAAAATTTAATCAAATGAAGAAATGATGAAATTTGTTATTATAATTCTGTACTTACCTGTAGTCTAGTATATCTAGTCTCGCCTTTTTTCGCTGCCTCTGTTGTTCGCTCCCTAATTCGCCAATTTTGATGTTATCAAGATAACAACACATTTTATGCATACTGTGTGGTTATGATTCCATCCGAATTCGTAAAAAAGTTCAAATATTTCAACTTCATTGCAATATTCGCAGTCGCCATTTTATTCGCATAAATTTTGCGAAATTCGTACATGCATGAACATACCTATAGTCAGTTTTGCGTCCGGAAATTAGAACGTAACATTTTATTTTTTGTACAGGTCGACGAAAAAATAATTTTCCTTCTGAATATCTTCTATTAGTGAGCTGAGTGGACTCCAATCAGATTGAATCGAAATAAAGCCATTCTAATTATTAAACTTCCATAATGTTGCTCCTACATTGGTAGACGTTTTAAGGTTGTCAACTTGGAGCGAAGTCCCCCATTGTCTATAAGAGCATGAACCTAAGAAATGGGCACCTACCTCATCTTTACTGCTCAAATTAGATGGGACTGGAGTGTGCATGGTATGGATGACAGGAGCCAAAGTGGGGCCTAACATTTCGCCTGTGTCTTCCTCCACGCTTCCTTCTGCCATATCAGCCTCGCATCCTGATTCGTCTGTAACGAGATTATGAAATTATCATATGTAATACAATGAGTTTATTGATCGAAATCCCTTCGATTTCATGTTGCCTTAAAGGAACATAATTTATTTCGGAAAAGAGTTGGGATTCTTGATAATCATCAATAAAACGAGTTGTATTTGCTAAGATCATTTCACTCATCATTTCATAAATAAAGCAATAATTTCATGTCATATTTTCATTCACAGTCGGTTTGTTATGTAATAACGATACATCGATAGCACGACAGAAACTAGAAACAGGACGCACCAAATATTGTCACGCGTCTCATCAGAAGTCCGATATTTTCTGTATCACTTGCTTCCGAACAGCTAGCCCGCATTATTTGATGCGTCCTATTTCTAGACGCTAGTCGCTAGTGTCAACTTGTAATTATGGATAGAGGTCCAGTTAAGGAAGGAGTAAACTGCGGTCAAAATTGAGTACACCAAACTTCAATTTCACAAGGAATTCTAAGGATTTCATAGGAATTCCATGGACTTCCAAGAAATCCCTAGATATTTCAGTTCACCCAAAAAATTCCAAGAAAATCCAAGGGAATCCGTGGAAATCCAAAGAAATTCAAGGAATTTCAAGGAATTCCAAGGAAATCCAAGGAAATCCAAGGAAATCCAAGGAAATCCAAGGAAATCCAAGGAAATCCAAGGAAATCTAAGGAAATCCAAGGAAATCCAGGAAAATCCAAGGAAATCCAAGGAAATCTGAGGAAATCCAAGGAATTCCAACGAAATCTAAGGAAATCTGGGGGAATCCAAAGAATTCAAAGGAAATCCAAGGAGTTCGAGTTGTATGTATTGCAGAATTATTGCGCACTTCACCCAAAGAATCCTAAGAAAATCCATGGAAATCCAAGGAATTTCAAGAATATCCAAGGAATCCAAAGGAATACCAGTTGTTTGTAGACCAGGAATCTACTGCACCTTACCCAAGGAATTCCAGGGAATTTCAAGGAAATCCGAGGAATTCCAAGGAAATCCAAAGAATTCCAAGGAATTCCGACGAAATTCAGAGAATCTCAGGGAATTCCAAAGAATTCCAGTTGTTTGTACACCAGAATTCCACCGCGGTTGACCGCTCGAGTATAGGTTTTGTAAAAGAAAAAATCACGAATGTGACATAGTTTAATTGTTATTTATTCTTTTTATAGAAATGAAAAAACATCAAGAACTTTTGAACCATCAACAATTGGATAACCACATATACGGTTAGTTTTAGTTTGATTATAAATAACCCCCCTCCCCCTACCACCCTAATCCTTTTGATCCAGGAATCATGGGACATCGTGTATAACTCAAAAAATAAAATTCCAATCCAAACAATTCTTTAATATAATCTTCTCACAGAATAATAGGTTGAAATGATTAAAAAGGGTGGCGGTATAAGATTGACTTACAGATCTTCGGAGAGGAGCAAGGTACCTTGAAATAAGAGATATTTGGAAAAAAACGATTGAAAATTCCTCAAAGAATGAAATTGCAAACTAATCAATAATTCTTCAGTCTGATTTTTCTCACCTCGAGAGAGGAGCAACCGAGGGAGCAACGTACCTTGATAGAGGAGATATTTGGAGAAAACTTTTGAATGGACTTCAGAAAATAGACTTTCAAACCAATCGATTCTTCAATTCAATTTTCTTACAGAGAAATATGTTCGCAATTATCTGTCTAGCCTACGTCCACAGATGAGATATAAAAGGAGTAGCAGGCGAGACACTGAATAAATGAAAAGGGAATGCCTGGGGAGACGAATAAAGAACATCCCTGAAAAGACACCAAGCTGATTAACAAAATTAGTGCATATTGTGAAGATATAAATAGAGCAAGTCGAATCATCTGTATCTCTTAGGATTTCTATGAACATATTATTAGTGGCAAAAGTTCATGTTGCATAAAAATGGAATATAATCTTGATATGCGTTGCTTGACTGTACTAGATATAGCTTATTTCATATTCAGAGAATCGTAAAGACATATACAAAAAGAAAAAGTGATCTCTTCACGTTTTTAATCTTCAAGTTTCCAATTTTTTTTGTCAACAAGTAATGTTCTCAATTTTTTGTCCCTCATTTTGGAGCCTCCGTGATAGATTCTTGAATTTTTACAAAAATCATAATCTCCGACCCCAAAAGCCCCATGCAGTTACCAATTTTAAATAAGATCGGACCATTATCATCGTCCGCAATTTCGAAGCCACTATCTTGAATTTTCCATTTTCGACAAAAGGAATCATGATCTCTGGTCCCGAAAACACCCAGATGCCAAATTTGAATCGAATCAAACCATAATCAGAGAACTATAGTCTGCCGTATTGGCGTCGCCATCATAAATTCTTCATTTTTGACATAAGAATCATAATTTCCAACTCCGAAAATCTCTCCATACCAAATTCGTCCGCCATATTGAATCCGCCATTTTGGTTTTTTCTATTCGATAATAATGTCACGACGAAATTCTCACCGGAATGATCTTCACTCGCCAAATTTCAAATCAATCGGAAGATAGTTAGTGGGTCAAATTTAACTTGCAAGTTTTGATTACAAATATAGACACCAGGAAAAGTTGAACTAAGTATAAGCAGAAGCTTGTCAAGTAATAAATAGAACAAACAGAGTAACAGGAAAATTGGATATGGTCATTCAGGAATAATATGAGTTATTTAATACAAAAAACTCGGGCAGCGATCAAGAGCTTGTATACTTTATTGGAGGTGAATTCCCCACTAACATTGGATAATGAGCTCTTGATCTATAAACAGATTATAAGGCGTATAATTAATACAGGAATAGGTAGGTTACAGGTGTTGATATAAAGTACTCCGTGGCATAACCAAAGGTAATCGATACTCTCGTATGGTGGATCTTCACGAACGGTGTTATGACATACCTATGATAAGGGATCATGTTTTCAAAATCTCTAAGTTTTATAGCTTCCACATTCAGGAGAGTGTACTCACTAGGAGCATCACTTCCATTCGAGCAGAACATGGAATCTTTAAGGAACATGGACTAATATATGAGTCGACCGATGTTCAGAGAACCCTTGAATGATCTACAGAATCCTCTGCATAAAAATGTTGAAGCTCGTAAAATTTCGAGGGATGATGCGTAAGTGATGTCCTTGGATATTATCAAGAGCAGCAGCGTCTCAGTGTGGCACTGTTGACGCTCAGGTGCAGGCGACACTATGCTTACATCTGCAGACTGCCCCAGACGGCTAATTGACCTTTCGGCCGATTCTGGGCGTGACTTGTCATTATGGGCGGTCAGCTATGTGTCCAAAGCGACAGATCACCTGAAGCTGGTTTTTACTGCATTTTTCCTCGTATAAACGTTGATTTCCAGCAATATTTGGTTTCATCGTCGACCCTACTGGGTCCAGCTCTGGGATTTTCTATTAAGAGAAGTATTGCTTCAGGAGATGAATCTCATGTGTCAGGACTCTAATCACTGAACAACCATCTATCCTTTCCGTCCCTGGCTAACACCAGCCATATTTTTTAGCTGTTTCGTACTGTTTGAAATTGTCGATTTTTTTTATTGAGAGGGGAAAATAAATGAATTTGAAAGCTATGATCCTGTTCTTCCCTTTTTTGCCAATGATTGCGGAATCGATAAATAATATAGATCATGGCATAGCGACATCTGACGTTCGATCTTTCTTGCCCTGATGGGCAACCCACACACATTCACCTAATTAAAGGAATATCCTCCTTAGGAGAGTCATCATATGCAGTTGATTCAGTGTCCTAGATTATATTTCAACTGTCACCGTTCCTTTTTAAGATTTCATTTATATACTTTGTATAGTTCAGGCGGATTTATGCAAACTGCTTTTTCATTGTTGGGTAATTTCACAATCATTAATGATTCAACTAATAAGTTGAAACTTGGTAATCCCGCTCATTTATTTATGCACCTGATGAATTGTATTTTATCTTTCATTAACTATTCGCTAAAAGATGACCAAATTTTATCTCTTGACAACGAATTAAACTGTGACTTGCGTACAGTCACGACAAATAATTTCTACCCCTTCTTTTCCCAAAATCTGGTTGAAAATTCTGAAAATTCTAGTCGTATGTTCAAATTAGACTCTGAAAAAAATATTAATGAATACTTAATTCTTATTGTAATTATGTGATCACTGAATATTATAACACAAGTATTTTCATCGGGCTCAGTACGCTGAAGACTATTTATCATGTTTCTATGCAACGTTCCAAGATATTTGAATGATATTGGTAATCTGAATTTACACTGATATTGGTCGAACACAAAATGACAAAGTTTTCGATGAAAAAATTTAACAAAATTGGTTTTATAACATTTGCAGAAAAAACTATATGATCACAATATGGACTATCAGCCGCGGCAGTCAATCTACTACTTTGCTGTCTAGTAAAACAATAGTAGAGTGTTTTATTAGGATCAAAAGTGACACTTAGTTTGACAAGCGAATTTTGCATTTGCGAGGCGGAGCGTTCAGCGAAGCTGCGAGAAAGCAAAATTTGCGAGTCAAACAAAGTCACTTTTGATCCGAATGAAACATGCTATTTTTTCTGCAACCGAAACAATTAACTCGAATAAATATGTGAAGTCACCACCAATGCCGTGTCATATGTATGCAATGCAACAAATAATCCGTGTGGTGAGAATATTCTTCCTGCATTGACAGCAAGTTTATTCGATTTTCAAGGATGTTCAAATTGTAGCTTCAATATAAATGAAACCAGGTATAGGAACAAGACGTGGAAATGTTACGTTAGTGAGCATATCAACAATAATAATAGCGATTATTCCTCTTCATACTACATTGTGTTTGACTTGATAATCAAATCGAGGTAAACAATATCGTTGTTTGAGACAAAAAACTATTGCTTGCCGTGATTATTCAAAAACAAGTTATCCATCCCGAGAATAACGAATGAAATACAGATGAAGCAAGTGTGTGAATCTTGAAGGCTTCGCTGATCAAA